ATATTTTTTCTTTAAAAGGGGTTTGTATATTATATATGTCTGACTAACATCAACATCAATATTGTTGCTCTAGAAATGAGATTACCAGCTCTTACAGAGTATACAGCAACTTCCTCCACACAAGCAGTGCCAGGCTTAGGAGATTTACGGTAAAGCCATGTTTCCAAGGAGGTCAGTAAAAAAGCCAGACTTCTACCGGCAGTTTCTGGGAGAGATGAGCTTTCCAACCATCGCAGTGTTTTATGTTTTCTCTGGGAAATGTTTATAACAGAAAAGGCTCAATTGGGGTATTTATCAGTCTCTCCTGTTCCCCCGGATTTTGGTGGAGTTGCTGATGGGCAAGGATAAAATGAGTTTGTCATCTCGGCATCATGGAAAACCTGGACTCAAGGTTCAAGAATGCCCCATATTTTAGTTGTGAGAAGAGAAACGACTTGGTTCCTGTGTGCCAGAAATGTGAAACGTGTATCTTGGCCTGGAAGATCTTCTCTACCAAAGAGTGGTTCCGAAGGATCAGTGAAGTATCGCAGAGGAGGTTTCTAGTTAGCATTCTGAAGCAGTTAAATAGCTTATATTTGTTGCACTATTTTCAAAACATCCTTCAGACCACACAGGGGAAAGATTTCATCTATAACAGGTCCCGAATCCACCTCAACAAGAAAGAAGGAAAAATTGGGAAGTCCTCCTTGAACCAAATGTTGGATAAAACAGTGGAACAGAAAATGAAGGAAATCTTGAGCTGGTTTGGGAGCAGCACCCACCGGACTAAGGCAAATTACACTCTCTTGCTGCTGCAGATGTGTGACCCCAAACTACTGCTCACTGCTGCCGATGTGGTCAAGGTCCTGTTTCTGAGAGAGCGGAGCACTGTCGTAGGTAAGCAAGGCTGCAGGTAGAGACCAGAGGGCCCTCTAAGACCAGAAAACGAGACTTCAGGACCCTATGAAGGAAGCAGAGGTGTGGACAAGCTTAGGTAGATGGGCATCTTCCAGAATGCAGGAGAGGGTTCCTTCTGAAACTTTGTCTTGACACCTGATCCTGTTTACCCAAGGAGAAATTGCTCATTGCTACTTCCTTCTAGAAAGATTGTGAAATGAAAAGTGCAGAAGGAAGTACAGACCTTTAACTGTCAAGCATTTAAAATGGATTTCTGTATCCCTTAGGCCCAAAAATGGCTGGTCCCCTGCCTCCGACTACTGAATGTCAGTGTGGCATTTGCGTTAGGGATTGGATTGGACTTGGGAGGGATGCAGGCAGTATCAGTTACCGTCGGTCGACTCTGACTCATGGGGACCCCATGTGTGTCAGTAGAACTGTGCTCTGTAGGGTTTTCAATGGCTGAGTCACTTCTGGTTAGCAGCCAAGCTTGTTAACTGTTTACAGCACTCAGGGACTCCTGGGTGAGATGGAGGGGGAAGCTATTAAATTGTTTTGCCCTTTAGCTGCACTATACAGAAACCAATGGAGCCCTGGTGGCGAGGTGGTTAAGAGCTCAGGCTGGTAATCAAAAGGCTGGCAGTTCTAATCCACCAGCTGCTCGTTTGAAACGCTGTGGGGCAGTTCTACTCTGTCCTATAGGGTCACTAGGAGTGAGAATCGACTCAATGGCACACAACAACCACATACAGAAACCAGGCCAAGAGGTTCAAATTTAGGGCTTTATTCATTCTACCATATTTCTTGTTTATGCACAAATTCAAACCTTACGGTGGGGTTATTAATCCAAGCCTGGAGATAGCTAAAGAGTCAAGTATGTCTAGGGCAGTGTTTCTCAAGCTTTAGCTTGTACCAGAATAACCAGGAGTTTGTTAAAACACAGATTACTGGGCTTTGCACCCAGAGCTTCTGACTCTGTAGGTCTGAGGTGGGCCTGAGATTTTGCATTTCTAACAAGCTCCCAGCTGATGCTGATGTTGCTGGTCTGGAGACCACACTTTTAGAACCTAGGAGTCTTGAGTGTCAGTGACAGTATATTGGAAAAGTTGGCCAGCTGGATCAGGGGAACAAAAGGAACCAGAAGGGAGGCAAGAGACTTGGAGGTTAAAGAGGGGGACAGGAGAGGAAGGTCCGGTGTGGGGAACCACAGGTTTAGTAGAAGGTGGTGTGAGAGAAGGCTGGGAGGGAGTAGTCATATGGAGGAGTTTCAGCTTTTTTTGTTAATTTTATTTATTTCGTTGTTGTTGAGAATATACATAGCAAAACATACACCAATTCAACAGTTTCTACATGTACAATTCAGTGACATTGATTGCATTGTTCGAGTTGTGCAACCATCCTCACCCTCCTTTTCTGAATTGTTCCTCCCTCATTAATATGAACTCACTGCCCCTTAAGTTTCCTGTCTAATCTTTCCAGTTGTTGTCGGTTTGATCCCACATAGCTGGATCTTGAAAGAGTACAATGCTCAAAGCAAACATTCTTTACTAGTTAAGCTAAACTATTATTTGGCTTTAAGAAGACTTCAGGGGGTATTTTTGGTTTAAGGTTTAAAGATTATCTCAGGGCAATAGTTTCAGGGGTAGAGTTTGGCTCTTGAAGGTGTGAATTCTCATTGCCAATGCGACCTGAGTTGTGGTTGTATTTGTAGTATAATGGTGTACAAAAGAATTTTAAAGTTATACGGTCTAGGTGCAATTGAAAACCAGTTGCTGTCAAGCCTATTCTGACTCCTTGCGCCCCCGTGTGTCACAGTAAATCTGCGTTCTACAGAGTTTTCAATGGCTGATTTTTTAGAAGGAGATTGCCAGACCTTTCTTCTGAGGTATCTCTGGGTGGACTGGTATCTCTGGGTGGACTGGAACCTCCAGCCTTTCATTAGCAACGGAACACACTAACCGTTTGCCCACACAGGGACTCCAGTTAGATCACTGTATATGCCACTTGATTTCTTTGGTGTGTCAAAGAATGATTATCTGGAGTGAGGAAGTAGTGAAAAAAATCAGAGTAACCTAGTGTCAAAACTTTTAGATTAGAAATCAACCAGTCCAGCTCCTTAATTTTAAAGATAAGGAAACGCAAGTCCAGGGAGTCTGAGTGACTTGGCCAAGCACACCCAGCAAGTGGTAGAGAACCAGGATTTCCCTTCTGAGCATTTTCCATTGTGCAGTGCTATCCTCCCACCAAGGTCGGGCAACTAACGTGGGCTGGATGAGTACACAAACATGCAGTGCTTTATGATTCCCTCTCAAAGACTGTCCTTCCCCACTGTAGGAGCTGACTGTTTATAATGGAGCCGTGTAAGTCCAGTTTCAGGCATGGCAACCCATCCCACTTTTCTACAGGAGATTCACTCTGTAAAAGTTAAAATTTCTAATTTAGCTCAAGGGTAGTATCTTGGTTTCTAGTGCTGCTGTAACAGAAATACCACAAGTGGGTGTCTTTAAAGAACAGAAATGTATTTGCTCACTGGTAAGAGGCTAGAAGTTCTAATTCAGGGCACAAGTGGTGGGGGAAAGCGCTCTCTCTCTACTGTGGGGAGATCTTTGTGTCAGCTTCTGGAGTCCTGGTGTTGCATGATTGCATGGCATCTCTCTTCCCCTCATTTGTGCTTCCGTCTGTATCTAATGTGCTCTTTTATAACCCAGAAGTAATTAGGTTTAGGACATACCCTACACTGACATCACCTCATTAACATGACAAAGAAAACCCTATTTCCAGATAGGATTACATCCACAAGTATAGTGTTTAGGATTCCAACACTTATTTTTGGGGGTCACAATACAATCTATAACAAGCAGTTATTTATGTCATTGAAGAAAATTGAGCAAGAGCAACAGAAAAGTGATCTGTCTCCTAACTCCTAGCCATAACTGTCTTACTCTCTCTCGTTGTACGCAGAGCTCTAATAAATTTTGCATTGTAGTAGGCTGGCAAAGTCTAAACCAAAAAAAAAAAAAGAAAACCCACTGCCATCGAGTCAATTCCGACTCAGAGTGAACCTATAAGACAGAGTAGAACTGTCCCATAGGGTTTCCAAAGCTGTGAATCTTTACGGAAGCAGACTGCCACATCTTTCTCCTGTGGAGCGGCTGGTGGGTTTGAACCACCGACCTTTTTGTTAGCAGCCAAGTGGTTTAACCACTGCACCACCAGGGCTCCTCTAGGCAATGTCTAATAGGGGGTTTTCTGAGAATTTTGCATAGAAACTCAGTGGTCCCAAATAAAAACAGATATAACTGGACTGATCCATTTTGTGTATATTTAAAAGAAGCAAGTGAAAATAAAACCATTTCTCTTCACCTCTTTTTCCTCCACACGTCTGCTTAAGGAGAAAACTTGTCTTGGTCTCATGTTTTCCAGGGCTTAATCAAAACTCCACAGATGTATTTTTCTTCCCCAAGAAAGACTTCAACCCCAAGTCTGAGACCTCACATGTTTGTTGGACAGCCAGAACCAGGCAAACATCCTTCCCTTTGTCCAAAGCCCCAGGGAAAGAAAGCTTGTCTGAAAATGTGGGAGAAGGGGCACCAGTTACTGGTAAGTTAGCTTTTAGTGAGAAAGCTAATATGTGAGACTGGGAAGTGCCAGTAGAGTCGGCGGGGCTGGCAGGACAATAGCATCTGGCCTTCAACGTGTTGTGTTCTTTGATATTTATTTCCTCATTTAGTCCTCACAGCTGGTAAGGGGAGATGCAAGGATTAAAATCAGTTAGCCCATGCTTTCACCTCTCCACCATGTTGCCTCCAAGAGACACCTGCAAATAGAGATCAGAAGGAAACTCCCAAGGGTTTCCTTTGAAGTCTCCTTTGGCACAGGCCACAATCCACCATCTGGTTCCTCAGGTCTTGTGTGGTGGACTCCTCCACAATTCAGCCCACCAGTAGTTATTTTTGCAGTATTAGATTCAGTCTTGAGGAGGAAACAAAAGCAATACGGAATTTGGACACTAACCTCAAGGCCCTCCTAAACTGGATTTTGAAGCAAGGCATACACATAAAATAATTACAGGAAATCCAAAGTATAGACTAAAAAAACAACAGCAACAACAACAAAAAAAAAAACCTTTTTACATGGAACATTTCCAGCTTTAAAAGTAGAGGGACTAGAATAAACACTCATGTACCCGTCATCCAGATTTCGTAATTATCAACATTTTACCAATCTCATTTCATTCATCCCCCTCTTTTTAAATTGTTTAAAAAATTTTCTTGCTAGAGTATTTTAAAGGGAATCTCAGCCATGAAGCCATTTCCCCTGAGCATTGCAGATTGTGATGCTGTAGGCATCTCCTTGAGCTGGGAAGGCTGAGAAGTACTTGTATGTTTGGTTCAGGAGGTTCTTTCTTCATGTGGCAGAAGAAATGACAAAACTGCAGTGGCCTAAGCGCAGACTCTGGTGAGGTTTATTTTGGGGCAAAGCTTTTGGTGAGGACTTGCTCTTGGCCTGGGATTACTGCAGAGACAACACAACAATGCAGCTTTCTCTGGTTTCACTCTAGAGGGGCAATGGAAGAGTTCGCTTCAGTGTATTTCTGAGATGAATAGGCTGTTTTCCAGAAAATCAGGTGTGCCCAAGGCAGGCGGCCTTCCCTTTGATCAGCTGGTTGACCTGGGTGCTGTTAGAGACCTGTCTTCGGGGTTCAGCCAATACCGGGACTTCATCCGCCACCTGCCCATCCACGTCTCCAAGTACATTCTAAGTATGTTGGGGTGGAGGGGGAATTCCTCAAGAGATGTCTCATTTCAGCCCACTGCTGAGGTTCCTGGGTCCATCCTTTTTTTTCAGGTATGCTGGATAAAAACACCCTGAACAAGTGTGCCTCTGTGAGCCAGCACTGGGCCGCACTGGCACACCAGGTCAAGATGGACCTTTCGATGCACACATTCATTCAGAGCCAGGTCGCCCTCTTACAGGTACTTCCAATCTGGGAGGGAGAGACCTGGAGAACCCTGGCTGAGGTTCCCCAACCCCCCCACCCCCATCCACCCTTAGCTGACCTCCTGCTCCTCACATTCGCTGCTTCCTCAGCTTTAGCACTCACTTCCTTTTTGTCTGGACTCCCTGCTAATCACTACTTATTCTCCCATTGTCTGTGCCTCTAGCAGAAACAACATGCATATAAAACTCAGGAACAGAGAGGCAGAGCTGCTCCAAAACCTTACAGAGCAGAGAACTTTTTTTCCAGATAGCTGTATTGCCACCTAGGCGATAAGAAAACCTGGACTATGTTTCCGGGTCGGCCTCACATGGTGCACAGATGTCTGTTGTCATTGTTGTTAGGTGCTGTTGAATTGCTTTGAACTCACAGCAACCCCATGTGATGGAGTAGAACTGCCCCACAGGGTTTTCTAGGCTGCAATCTTTATGGGAGGAGATTGCTGGGTCTTTCTCCTGTTGAGCCGCTAGATGGGTTCCAACTGCCAACCTTTCAGTTAGCAGCTGAGCATGTAACCACTGCGCCACCAGGTTGACAAGGCCACAAAGTGTATTTTTAGGTTAAAATGCACTTTTTCCCCGGTATTTTTACTTCTCTGTTTCTCAGCTGAAGCCTAAGCCCTAAACCGTGGATTCTTAGTAGCTTGGTGTTTTCCCAGCAGAGGTAGATGACAGAGAACAGGAAGAAGTGGGCATTAGGGGCCAGACCGCAGTCTGGAAAGCTGGGGACTGCTGACCATCTCTTGCTGTTCTCGCCCCAGATGTGTGGTAGTAATTACCCTTCTCAGTTCAGTCTGCACACCCTGCCGGCCTAACTGATCAGGCTCGGGCCTGCCTTCCTTAGCCAGAGTTTACCCAAAGTTATGTATTAAATTGTGTCCCTCCCAAACGTGTTGGAATCCTAACCCCTACACCTGTAGCTATAATCCTGTTTGGAAATAGAGTTTTCTTCTTATGTTAATTAGATCATACTCGAGTAGGGGAAGGTTCTAAACCTAGTCACTTCTGAGTTATAAAAAGAGCAGTTTAGACACACACACACACACACATACACACACACACGGTGTGGGAGGGAGACAGATGCCATGTAAGAATAGCCAAGGAACAAAAGAACGCCCAGAGCTACCGACAAGGAAGGAATGGACCTGGCCTAGATCCTGGTTTGGACTTTTAGCCTCTAGAACTTGAGAAAATAAATTTCTGTTCTTTAAAGCCACCTACTTGTGATATTTGTGTTATAGCAGCACTAGATGTATCTTTTGGATCTTGCTGAGAACTAGCTTTCTCCCTCCCCTCCCAGAGCAGGAAACAAGAATAGCCATTTTCTGGTTTTTTGTTTGTTTGTTTTCAGGGAACCTACACTAGGGGTATAGATCCTAATTATGCCAACAAGCTTTCTATCCCAGTTCCTAAAATGGCAGATGATGGGAAGCGCATGCGTGTGAAAAACCAGAAATGGAAGCTGAGAACAAAGGTAGGTTCCAGTGGCATCTGGGGCAAGTGGCTGTGTCATGTTCTTATTGGCCATGAAGGCCAAGTACAAAATCTGCTCTCCCATAAGGACATAGGATCATGAAAGACAACATTCCCTAAGGGAGACCAGAGCTCTGGGCTGCTACTGACAAGCTGTGTGGCCTTAAGAAAGTCACTTCCTCTCCTCCAGCCTCAATTTCCTTATCTGATTTGGTTGTCTTCTCAGGGTTCTTCCTTACTTTAAATCCCATGATCATGTTCTATGTCCATGCTACCAGATCAGCTAGTGGAGAGTTCAGAGACTAGGAGCATTGTCAGCCATAGCTGGGATTCTCCTCAACACATATCCGCCCACATATCAAGAGTTGGCTGCTAAGGAATTAGAAGGACATAAGGAAGGGCCACGGCTGGTCCAAAATCTCCAGAGCCTAGAATAAATTAAGCTTTCCCACGTCTCACTTCCAGGTTCATTCTGGTTCTATGATGGAAGGGGAGAGTTACTTAACTATAGACCTCCCCACCAATTCTTGGGCAATAGTGAAGAAGAATAAATGGAAGACTCTTTTATCTCTATGCTCTGTCCACAGGGGTATGGTGATCATTCCTAAAGACATGTGCCCCTGCCTCCTTTTTCCATTAGCTTGCTGACCTCCCCTCTTGGCTCAACGTCCTTCTATGTTGAAGTCTATCTAATTGACTCAGAAAAGATGCTTAATGAGGGGTTGTCTGATTGTAGCTTCCCATAAGGAAGTCAAGTGTCATAAATTTGAGTCTTAGAAACAGAAGCATCCTGAGAGACCATTTAGTTCATGTCTGTAGGGGCTAGACAGGTCTCACAAATGAGTAGGTTGGACTGGGTGTGACCAGTAGAGAGCTATGGGACCGTAGTGAACAGGAGCGACCACTCCCCGTCTGAACACTTGCTACTCATCTGCAGCTAATTGTTGCTGTGTGGAACTGTGGACCTCAACCCTCTGAGCTTTCAAGAGAAGATAGAAATCTGGATGATCATGTGAAATCTCTTGCTTTTCTTTAATGCTGACAACCAATTAAAAGCACTTTCAAACAATATGTGGTCCAAAGAAAACATATTTGTAGGCCTCATTTGACCTGCAATTTTTGATCTCTGAAATGGTCGATTCACTAATTTCATAGATGAAGAAACTGAGGCTCAGAGAGGTTAAGATCTCATAGCCAGTTGAGTGATAGACGTGCTCCTTCCAAGTCTATTGCTCTTTTAAGTACAACAAAACTAACACCCTTCTTCCTCCTTGGGTCACGTAGTTAGTCTGTCATAAAGGATGACCCAGAGAGTGTTTGACATTCTAGGAATTTATAATGTAAGAAAAAGGTGAGTTAAACAGATAAAGCAGTATGGAGACTAGAAGAAAACATGTGAAGTAGAAGGATTAAGCAGTTCAGGAGTATGCTAGGAGAAGGTGAGGTGAGTGCTCTTAAGGATGGTAATCACAATGAGTACTCTCTGCTGAGCTAAAGCACTGTGCCAAGCAGGGTGCCAAGGGCTTTACATACATCATTTACTTGGTCCTCCCCATATGTCAAGGTGTCATTGCTTCCAGTTTATGGACGTGGAAATGAAGGCTATGATGTTTGAAAACTTCCCAAAATTCTCATAGGTGGTCAGTGGCAGAGATGGGATTTGAACCCAAGTCTTTTTCCTCCCAATGACTCCACCAATATGATTTCTAAGGCTCTCAAAATTAAGGAGATGAGCAAGGGTTACGGAATTCCATCCCAGGCAATAAGCAGCCAGGAAAGCCTCACTAATTCAAGCTGGGATGTGGAGAGCTGTTTGGACACTGGAGGGAAGGAGGAAGGTTGGTGGATTCTTATACGGAGAGACTTCTAGGTGGGCATCACTACTTGGTTAAAGGTTAAGAAAGAGGGCATTGTAAGGAAGCGTCTAAGGGCATGGAGGAGAAGGCTCAGGCCTGGAAAGAGATTTAGGGAGAGAGTTCCCCAGAAGAACTCCTAGATGCAAACATGATTCTGTGGTGTTTTCCTTCATGATAAACTCACCCTGTTATTTCTTTCCTGCTAGTATAGCATGACTGTTATTTCCTACTATTTGAGGGTAGAAAGTATGGTTGGGAAGAACAGTGGAACGGGGAGTCCCAGCTCCGTCACTGATGCCAGAATTTAACATGTCTGACATGTCATAAAGTGTGTGGTGGAGGAAGGGAGGAAGAGAGGGAGGCAGCAAGGAAGGAAGGGAGGAAAAGAAAGGATTGAGAAGGGGAGGGCAGCACCCTATTGAGACCTGATAAAATTTATACCCCCTTTCTGGGTCCCAGATCTTTATCTGTAAAATAATGAGAATATTTATTTTGGCAAGTGGTCTACTTTGTGCGGCAACTGTAAGGACCGATTAAGGTTGCAGGCTATGAAAACTTTGAGAAGCAAATGTATAGAGTGTGTAGCAGTAATTTCAGTATGGCTTGACTTCCCGTAAGTATGCTTTGTACTACCAGGTACATACAATATAAATGCAAAAACCTTCATTCCAGTAAAAAGGTCAGTCGACAGACACTTGTACCTTTGTTCTGTGGGCATACCCTTTGTGAGCTGGTTTGGGAGAAGTTGTGCCATGAGAGACAGTTGGAATTCAGCACTGAAAATTTGTGGAATCAGAATAGATAATACAAAGAGGTGATAGAAGAATTTGAACCCTTGACTCAACATTTTCTAACTCATTGATCACTTTAGCTTCTGCTCATTGGCCCCTCTGCATGTAGCAGCAGCCACAGCTTGAAGAACAAGAATACACAGACCTTTGTGCCCTTGCCTTAGGTGACTCTGGTGGCATGTGCATCTGGGACCTGGGTAAAGTTGGAGCAATATTTTCACTCCAGGTATTTCATTGTTAGACTGACTACAACCTGTGGACTGCATACCAGAACCAGGAGACTCTGAGTGTCCAGATGGAGGAGAGAAATGTCTACTGTGGGACCTACAATATCCGGATTCTCTCTGACACGTAGGTACTGGGGTCAAGATCTAGGTCTTCGGAACCCTTGAATTACTCACACTGATACCTTAGGATTCCCCTGATCCTTATTTATATGGAAGAGTAATCCTCTCGTCACCACAAGTTCCACACCAGGCTAGTATGAAATCTCATTTGGAGAACAGGTGTTTGATTTTGTACCATTCTCAGCAGTGGGTGGAGGACACTTCTCCCTTATAATTTTGGGTATACTGGCCAATAATCTTTCTCACAATTCACATACGTGTAATCTTTCTTTTTTGGAAACATTTTTATTGTTTTATTATAATTTTAGAAGTAACGTATGACTGTTAGAAAAAAACTTCCAAATACCAGAAAAAAGCAAAGATCTCCTGTAATCTTATCACCTAGCAATAACCATTGTTAATATTAGTGTATATCCTTCTAGAATTTTTTGAATATATAAATATATTTTAAATAGAAATGACATTATAGTAACTCATCCCAGTAAAATGCTGCAGATATCTTTCCATGTTAATTATGAAAATTGTATTTGTAATGATTGCATAGTATGACATTATTTGGATATACCGTAAAAAGACCCTTTGATAACCAACTTTCTGCAATACTTTAGACATAGGACCTTAGTCTTTATTTACAGGACATTGTAAACCTCATCTCTACTTTTTGTCCCTGAGTCTTACTACCAGATTGGATCTTGAGAATAGACCTATAGGGGAAGGCAGGCAGATAGAGCAGAGGCAAAGTTAGATTTTTATGGATAGTAAGGAGATCAGGGCTCTTTTCAAGAGATGATGACTGATTGAACTCTAGATATGACAAATGGGACAAAGACAAAAGTGTCCAGAGTTGCTCCTCATATTTAGAGTGACTACACATCCCTGTTTATATGGAATGATCACACTTTACTTTGTGTTCCTGGGGTAATTCATAATAGTGTCTCCTTTCATCAAAAGTGTATCAGTTTGGACAATAAATTATTTGGTAACCCTGCTCATAGTTTACCTATTTGCTAATAATCCTGTGGTTGAAAAATTAAATCAAGTAACCCTGCTTTATTGAACTATAAGCTCCTTAAGGTCAGGTCTGTATCTTATTCATTTTTGTATTTTCCATGGTACCTACTAACACAGGACTTTGAATATAATACATGTTCATTGAATATCGATTAAAAAGAAAAAAAAAAATCAGCAGGACATGCAGTGAATGTAAGGCTTTCCACTGCGTTCCTCTGAGATATTCTGTGAAAAAAGGTGTCTATGATCAAATAAGCTTGGGAAACACTGCATACTCTGTGAGTCGGAATCGACTTGATGGCCCACAACAACAACAACTATTCTCTCTAAGGGGTTTAGTATACATTAGCAGATTAAACACTCTGAGAAGTTCTACATTAAATGAAGATATTAAAGTGTGTTTAACCTCATATTCTTAAACCCATTAGACTAGGCAGCTTCTTGCCAAGAACATCTATTAATAACTCATAGAGCATATGTGCTGCCAAACACAGTTTTGGTAAATATAAATAACATTCAAACATAAGGATAAATTCACTTTTAGGCACATCAAAAGAGAGGTAGCTTTTGGATTCCTCCATTTTTCTAGAAACATATTCTGAGTACATCCCTACCTTGTTAAATTCAGTTCAATCCCTTTCAGTAGATGTGTATTCAGGGCGAGTCATGGGCTATATGTTGGCTGTATATGGATCCTGCCCTTGAGAGGTTAATGATATGCTAGGAAAAATAGATTTTTAAAATCACAGATAATTCATACATAATGTGATAAGAGTTGTGATCAAGGTGTGTGTGTGTTGGTAGGTTGTTATGGGAACACAAATTAGGAAATAATTACTTTGGCTTAGAATGAAGTGGGGCAAAAACTGCTCTAGAGAAGCAATTATCAGTTTGACTCAAGGCACACTAATGTTGGCATCTGGATTCTCCAGGAACTATCTATATTCAACTATCTATATTCACCATTCCCCCTTGTGGAAGAGGCCTCCTGGGGCTTTGCTGGGCTGTTTATGACACTTCTCGGGTTCATAGGCCTAATTAATGCCTTGTGGATACCAGTGACACAGTATGACCAATGACCAAAGGAAATCTTGAAGTGGTGACAAACAAGTAGTATCTATAAAAGGGAAATGGGCCCTGTGGCCAATTAAACATTCAGGAAAACAATAGAGCTTATATCCAGATTATGAGCAGGGCCTGCTGGTTCCTGATAGGGAAGTCTACAGCAGGCATCTTTGCAGACACCCACCAGGGCCGTTAACACTCGGCCTTGCATTTTAATACCTCCCTTATTGGAAAGCCCCAAATTTTCCATCACACCACTGCTGCAGGAGAAAGCCGTGGTACAAATCACTTTCAGGAAGGAGGCTAACTCCTCTTTTTTGGGTAATCCTGTTTCCTGGCAACTCAGATGGGACAGAAACAGAGTCATCCATTATTCCGGGGGAGATCTGGTAGCTGTGTCATCAAATCGGAAGATCCAGCTTCTGGACATCATACAAGTAAAGGAGATACCCATCGAGTTCCGGGGACATGCTGGGAGCATCCATGCCCTCTTCTTGTGTGAGGAGGAAAAATTTCTCCTGAGCGGAAGTTATGACTTGAGTATCAGGTGAGTGACCAAAGGAACTCATGATCTGCATCCCCCCAGGGCCTAAACTTAGCTTGTGGAAGAGCATGTGTGCTTTTCCATTTTGTGTTTGTTGAAGAGTTATCCTAAGTGATACTGACTTCTGTAGTGGCTGACAACATTTTTTTTTTTTGGCAAGGTAAAAACCAAGCATTAGTGTATCGTCTAAGGTTGAATGAGATAGATTTATCACAATTAGCAGATGTATTTTCTAATTGAAGACTACTAACAACATACCTTTGAAAAACTCATGCACATGGGCACCAGAAGATACATCCAATGAATCAAAAAAAGTCTCTTTTTTAACATTCTTGGATGAAGAAATAATTTATAATTCTCTTTATAGATTCCTGCAGGGGAAAGTAGGTTTTTGTTTTGTTTTGTGGGTATGAATTATAGCATAGATGCAAAGTAATAATGCTTAAAATGTATGTATGTATTTTTTAAACAATATAATAAACGACCATGTACCCATTACTCAGGCCAAGAAATGGAAATGACCATCCTGTAAAGCTCCCTATGTGACCTTCCCTTATTGCTTCTTTCTTCCTCCTAACCAGTGGCAAAGTTATATCAAACTTTATACTAGTTATCCCTTGTGCTTCTTTACCGTTTTTACTACCTGTTAATGTATCTCTAAATACGTTGATCACTTTTGCCCATTTTTAACTTAATATATATGGAATCGTATTTTAAAAATTCATCTCTGACTTGATTCTCACCCTGAACTGTGTTTTTGAGGTTTGTCCATTTGATATAAATGTTGTTGTTAGGTTCTCTGCCCTGTCCTGCATCATCCTCACAATCATTGCTATGCTTGAGCCCATTGTTGCAGCCACTTTGTCAGTCCAACTTGTTGAGGGTCGTCCTCTCTTTCACTGACCGTTTACCAAGCCTGATGTCCTTCTCAAGGGACTGGTCCCTCCTGATAACATGTCCAAAGTACGTAAGACAAAATCTCACCATCCTCACTTCTAAGGAGCATTCTGGCTGTACTTCTTCCAAGATAGATTGGTTTGTTCTTCTGGCAGTCCATGGTATATTCAATATTCTTTGTCAACATCATATTTCAAAGGCATCAATTCTTCTTTAGTCTTTCTTATTCATTGTTCAGCTTTCGCATGCATATGAGGCGATTGAAAATATCATGGCTTGGGTCAAGCGCACCTTAGTCTTCAAGGTAACGCCTTTGCTTTTTAACACTTTAAAGAGGTCTTTTGCAGCAGATTTGCCCAGTGCAATACGTTGTTTGATTTCTTAACTGCTTCTTCCATGGGTGTTGATTGAGGATTCTAGTAAAATGAAATCCTTGACAACTTCAATCTTTTCTCTGTTTCTCATGATGTTGCTTATTGGTCCAGTTGTGAGACTGTTTATTCTCTTTATGTTGAGGTGTAATCCATATTGAAGGCTGTAGTCTTTGATCTTCATCAGTAAGTGCTTCAAGTCCTCTTTGCTTTCAGCAAGCAAGGTTATGTCATCTGCATATGGCAGACTATTAATGAGTCTTCCTCCAATCCTGATGCTGTGTTCTTCTTCATGTAAGTAGCAGTAATTAATTTACTTTTACTGAGGTTTAGTATTTTATCGTATCAATGTATCATAACTAATTTATTATTCTTCTGTTGATGGGCATTTGTATTGTTTCTAGCTTTTGTTGTTTCAAAGAATGTTGCCATAGACATTCTTGGCTATATCTTTGGGTGCCCATGTGCATAAGTTTTTTTTTTTTTTTTTTTAATATTTTATTGTACTTCAGGTGAAGGCTTACAGAACAGATAGTTTCTCATGTAACAGTAACACACAGTGCATAAGTTTTTTAAAGGTATATTGTTAGTAGTGAAATTTCTGGGTAGGAGTACAAAACTCTTTTCCAAAATGGTTGTACTAATTTACACTCCCATCAGCAGGGTATGAGATATAAATCCTTACCAAACAGTCTTGTCAGTCTTCAACACTTTTGCCAGTCTGATTAGTATTAAATAAAACCTTATTTTAGTTTTAATTTTTTAACTTCCCTGATTACTAATGAGGTTGGATAGTTTTTTCATGTTTTGGAGTCATTTGTACTTCTTCTTTTTTATGAAATTTCTGTTCAGTTTTCCCCCCATTTTTCTGTTGATTTGTTTATCCTAACTTTCTGATTCACAGAATTCTCTGTGTTTTCTGGATACTGATTTTTTTTTTTGTTTATTTTTGTGTTGCAAATATCTTCTTCCATTTTAAGACTCGTATTTTCACAGAGTGTGATGTCTTTTGATGAACAGAAGTTCTTAACTTTAATGTCGTAGAATTTGCTAATGGTTAATGCTCTCCGTCGCATGTTTGAGGAATCCTTCTCTATCTTAAAGTCATAAAGCCATTCTCCTGTAGCATTTTTTTTAATTTTTTTTTTTTTTTAATTTTAATGGTTTTACCTTTCATCTGTAGGTCTACCTGAAATAGATTTTTGTTATGGTACGAGGTAGGAATTTCTTCTATTTGGATGCCCAATTATCTCAGCACCCATTTATGGAAAAGACCGTTCTTCCTCCCATTGATCTTCACTGCCTTCTTTGTCACAAGACAAATCTCTATATATTTGTTTCTGGGCTCTCTATTCCATTCCATTTGCCTGTTTCACTATCCTTGGTCAATACCACACTATCTTAATTAGTTTTTGAGACTTATGTCTGGTAGGGCAAGTCTCTCCCGCAGCCCCCTATCTCATTCTTCTTCATTTTGGCTATTCTCGGACTTTTGCATTTCTATCTGTCATGGTTTGAATTATGTCCCCCCAAAAATGTGTGTATCAGTTTGGCTGGGCCATGATTCCTGGGACTGTATGATATTCCTATATGTTGTAAATCCTGCCTCTATGATGTTAATGAGGGAGGATGGGTGGTAGTTAGTAAGGCAGGACTAGATCTACAAGACTGGATTGTGTTCTGAGGCAATCTCTTGAGATATAAAAGACAGAAGTGAGCAGAGAGACAGGGGGACCCCATACCATCAAGAAAGCAGTGCCGGGAGCAGAGCGCGTCCTTTGGACCGGGGTCCCTGCGCAGAGACGCTCCTAGTCTGGGGGAACACTGAAGAGAAGAAGGCCGACAGAGAGAAAAAGCCTTCCCCTGGAACTGATGTCTTGAATTTGGACTTTTAGCCTACTTTGATTATGAGGAAATAAACTTCTTTTTGTTAAAGCCATCCACTTGTAGTATTTCTGTTGTAGCAGCACTAGATGACTAAGACACCATCTAAATCTTTTTTCCTTTGTTTTTAGTTCTTTTCAGACCTCAGGTTTAGAGCTTGATTATACTCCTCAGTTCATGTAATATTATTATCATTGGTCTGTATAAGGATCTGCTCCCCTGTTTTATCTATCATCTATCTATCGAATCTCTATTCTTCACTCTTATTATTTTTCCCCATGATTATCATTATAATCTTTTTTTTTACAGTTGTTCATTTATTTATTCACTTATTCAGCTTACATTCACTTATTATGCATGCATTTTGGAAATCAAAATTATTTCCAATTAAATTTATTTAAGGAGTTAATTTTCATCTTTTTAGGGCAAATACAGATAGATAAGATTCTCACAAAACTGAGCATAGCTAGAACCACTAAAATATTTCATGAACAAGTGGGATAAACAGTTTATTTAACATTATTTATGTTATATAAAAGTTTAAAATTGCCAAGCCTTTTTGTCTGTTTTGTTAAACTAAATTTAAATAATGAAAACAAAGGGAGATAGAAACAGACTTCCTAGAAGAATGGTGTTTCACGTTTGTTGACTTGGAAGAGATACTTTGTAATCTTCTCTTTCTTGTTTCCATACCACTTTCTTTTGATTTCATTGGGTGTGCAATGATTTGTCATAGAAATCATCAGTTTTCATACTTCATCATCATCAACAACATCACCATATGCATTTATTTTGCTTCTAATATGTTCCTGAAAATACACGAGGAAATTCGAAAAGGCAATCTACATCAAGAGGCAGACTGCTATTGTTGTTAGGTGCTATGAAGTCAGTTCTGACTCATAGCAACACTATGTACAACAGAACGAAACACTTCATCATCTTCACAATCGTTGCTATGCTTGAGTCCATCGTTGCAGCCACCATGTCAATCCATCTTATTGACGGTCTTCCTCTTTTTCTCTGACCTTCTACTTTACCAAGCATGATGTCCTTCTCCAGGGACTGGTCGCTCCTGACAGCATGTCCAAAGTATATGAGTCTAAGTCTAGCTATCCTTACTTCTAAGGAGCATTCTTGCTGTACTTCCTCCAAGACAGATCTGTTTTTCTTCTTTTAGCAGTCCATGGGATATTCAATATTCTTCACCAACACTATTTTTATTCAAAGGCATCAATTCTTCTTCAGTCTTCCTTATTCAGTGCTCAGCTTTCACATGCACGTGAAGTGATTGAAAATACTATGACTTGAATAAGGTGCACCTTAGTCTTCAAGGTGACATATTTACTTTTTAATGCTTTAAAGAGGTCTTTTGCAGCAGATTTGCCCAAGGCAATAAGTAATTTGATTTCTTCTTCTTTTTTTTTTAATTGTACTTCAGGTGAAGGCTTACAGAACAGATAGTTTCTCACAAAACAGTAGTACACATATTGTTTTATTGCATTGGTTAACAACCCCCCAACATGTCAACCCTCTAACTCATTATAATCTTTTTAAATGTGTATCTTTTTGTTTATGTGTGTTCTTTCAAAATATGTATTGATGTATTTTGTACATGTATTTATAATTCACATACATGGTATTGTCTTTAATCTTTGCACTCCACCCCATGTTTAAGAGATCCATTCATGTTATCATGTATGTGTCGAGTCTGTTGTTTTAACTGCCATGTGGTACTCTGACATCTGTATACACATAGTACCTACTTTCTTTCCCACTTATGAACACTATGCTGCCTCCAAATAATGCTGCACTGAACAGCTTCATATATGTCCCTTCATGGACACTGTGAGATTTCTTAGGAATTGGTACCCAGGAGAGGACTTGTGAGACGTAGAGTGGGCAGTACCTAATTTGACTAAGAAGTACCAGATTGAAGTCCAGAATGACAGCATGAGTCTACACTCTCACAGCAGGAATCCTATCTCTTTACTTCCCTGCCCACATTTGGCATCATCCAGCTTTCAAATTTTTGGAGTTAAATATGTATAAAACCATGTCCAGGTGCATATTTCTGGTTATCAATGAGTTTGCTTATTGGCTTTTGGGGTTTCCTCTTCCATAAATTGTCTGATTATATCCTTTGCTCATTTTTCTATTGGGGGCCGCTATTTTTTTAAATTGATATTCAGTGCCTTGTATATTATAGGTATCAATCCCTTATCAGTTTTAACATTGTAAATATCATCTATTCTTTTCATCAGTTTATTTGTTCATAATGTCCTTTGTTGAACAAAAACTTAATACTGATGTAATAAAAAATTTCAGTTTATCAATTTTTCTGCCTTATGTCTGTGATCCTTCTTACCTCTAGATCACAAAGATATTTTCCAATATTATCTTTTATTAATGTTATAGTTTTGCCTTTCACTTTCAGGTTTTTAATCTATTTGTAGTCCAACTTTGTATGTGGTGTTAGGTAAGATTTCTATTTTATTTATTTATTTTAAAATAAAGTGAGCAGTTTTCCCCACAGCATCTGCTAAATATTCTGCCGTTTCCCTCATTGGTCTGTGAGCCATCTTATCACATGGTAATTTCCCATATATACGTGAGAATGTCTCTGAGCTCTCTATTCTATTCCATTGGTCTATTTTTCTGTCCTTGCATCAAAACCATTTTTCTTTCTTTAGCTATGCATTTAGAGAATGTTTTAATATATGATGGTGGGGCAAGTCCAACGTTTTTCTTTTTTTATGTAACTTAACTATGATATATGGTTTTTGAGTTTTTGAAAAAAGTTTGTCAACTTTTCAGAAAAGCCAACTAGAGTTTTGATTGGGGTTGCAATGAATTCATAGATTGATTTGGGGAGTGCATTCTGTCAGATTTTCTTCTTTGTCCTTTCTTAGAGCTTTAAATTTTCTTTATAGAGGTCTTATGTATTCTTATTTAATGTCTATAAGCTTTATAATTTTATTGCTATTGTGAGTGGTATCTTATTTTTGAACTGGTTACTGCTGGCATAGAGAAATGCTATTCATTTTTGTATATTGATCTTGTATTTAGCCACCTTGCTAACCTCTCTTATTAGTTCTAAAATCTGTGTGTTGATTTGGTTTTATGTAGGTAATCTTATTAACTACAAATAGTAACAATATTTATCTTCCTTTCTAATAATCACAGCATTTTTAATTTTTCTTTCCTTATAACTTTACCCAGGTCTTCCAGTACCATACTTAATAGTAATCAGTGAGAGTGGGCTTCTTTATCATGTTCCCCTTCTTAAAGGGAATAAGTCTACAGCTTCTCCATTAAGCATAATGCTTCTTGTATGATTTTGGTTTATAAGTTTTATTAAATCAAAGAAGTTCTTCTAGTTCTAATTTTTAAAAAGTGTTTATCAAATACCTTTTCTGCATACATTAAGAAAACCAACCTGGACATTTGGTCTGTCACGTTGCTAGAAAAAGAAATTCAAAACATGCTTTTTCTGAGACCACTGGGTCCTCATTAAATACAGTGTGAGTGCATAGTAGGCTCCGACAAACTGCAGCACTGGTAAGGCTGTGGGACCTTCAGGAATATTAGAACCAACCAGTTGCTATCGAGTTGACATTTTGGTTAGCAGCTGAGTGCATTAACCATTTGCACCATCCAGGAACTCCAGGAATGTCAGAAGGGAAAGCTTAACACATCCAAAAGGGAAAAAAATATTAATAATCTATTATGTGCCAAGCCTCACAATAACTCTATGAGGTAAGTACCATTATTGTCCCCAATTTACAGATGAGGTTCAGAGTAGTTCAGTAACTTACCCAAGACCACACAGCTAACAAGTGATGGACCAGGGTCTGGACCTCAGCAGCCTGGCTCCAGGGCCCACTCTATCTCAACATTCCACTATGCCATGTCACAGAAGCAGTCTGTCTGAAGTGGAAGTTTGTATCAATGACAGCTGAGAGCCTGAAGAGAAGTTTTCTTATGAAAAATAGCATGACTTATACATGTTCCCATATATCTCTAAGATATACTTTAGAAATATTCATAAAATATTTTAAATCTAAGTGACTATAGTAAATTGGTATGTTGTTCTTGTTTGAAGGTCAGCACTGAATCAGTGCCCTGAAGTTTAAGTCTGGTGGTCATTCCATGGACTTTTCCACCTAATACCAGCAACCATTTACCAAGCATTTTCTACATGTTAGTCACTGTTCTAAAGTTACATGCGCTAGTGTCGGCAGTGTTGTCGTGGGGGCTGTCCTGTGCGTCGTAGGGTGTTTACCAGTACCTGTGGCCACACTAGAGGCCGGTGGCACCCTTTCCCACTGTGACAACCAAAACGTCTCCAGACATTGTCAAATGTCCCCTGGGGAGGATCGCCCCTGGGTGAAGTCACTGCATTAGTGCATTTAATTCTTCCCAGAAAAACTTATGAGGTAACTACCATTGTTATCATTTCCATTTTATCAATGAGGAAATGAAGCTTACACAGAAATTAAGTAACACCTGATAGGTGTTAAAGCTGGGATCAAATCCAGGCCTCTGACTTTAAGCTTAACCATGAAACTTTGCTGCCTTCCAACTCCCTGTAGACCTGAAGGCATTGTATACCGTATGATCCCTTGGGCCCTCAGAAATTCTCAAAAACATCTTTTTGACCTGTTTCCTGCAGATACTGGGATCTGAAAAGTGGAACTTGCGTACGAATCTTCAATGGCCACCAAGGGACAATCACTTGCATAGATTTATATAAGAACAGGCTCGTATCGGGAGCAAGAGATTGCCAGGTGAAAGGTGAGAAAGAAATGCCTTAAACTTTCTAAGAAGTTTCCCCAAATCCTTGGGTTTCCAAAATGTTCCTGAGCTTTGGTCATTTCTATAGGCAGTAATTTATTCTTTTATTCATCCATCCATCCATCCATCCATCCATCCATCCATCCATCCATCCATCTATCCACCCATCCAACCATCCATTAATCCATTCATTCACTGTGCTAGATGTTGGGGAGAAAAAAAAAAAGAATATGATATGGCTCTTTAGATATGACTTTTTATTCCCTCAAGAGGCTCATAGTCTCCTCACAGAGAGAGATGTGAAAATATATAATAGGGGAATGTAATAACTTTATGAATGATAACAGCTGCCATTTACTGAGTATTAACTTTGCAACAGGCACTGTGATAGGTGCTTTACATCTATTAACTTACTCAACCCTCACAAGAACTCCATGAGGTAGATGCAAAGGAACCTGTTGCCATCAAGTCGATTCCAACTCACAGCGACCCTACAGGACAGAGCAGAACTGCCCCATAGGGTTTCCAAAGCTGTAATCTTTACAGAAGCAGACTGCTGCATCTTTCTTCTGAGGAGTGGCTGGTGGGTTCAAACTCGACCTTTCGGTTAGCAGCCAAAAGCTTAACCACCACGCCACAAGTACACCTGCATGCAGAGGTGTTCTAGTTGTTTCACTTCCAAAATTCAGAGAGAAAAAAACTTGCCTCCAATCAAAGCTGCTGTTTGGTAGAGTTGGGAGTTGAATCCTGTCTGGTCTAAATCATGTGCTCCTAACCACATGTAGAGTTCCAAGGCACCATAGAAATTGGATTAAATTAGGGAAAGCTCCGCAGACAGGGTGTTATTTGAGAGTAGTCTTGAGGATTATTAGTTTTACAGGCAGAGAAGTGGGAGCTGTTAGGGCATTCCAAGCACAGGACACATGCACAGAAGGATGAAAGAAAACAGCATATCAGGGACTTTCCTGGTGTTGATGTGGCTGGACTGCAGTGTGAGGTGTTGGCAGTTAGGCTGGTAAGTTCATTTGGAGCCAGACTATAAAGGGTTTTCTGCATCATGGTAGGAGGTTGACCTTTATCCTACAGGACATGAGGAACTATAAATGCATTGTAAGCTGGGGATTGACATGATTAAACGTGTATTTTAGAAAGACAATTCTAGTGATAATGTGAAGGAAGGGTTTGGAGAGTGATGACTATCTGGAGGCAGCAGACAAGTTAAGACACCCTCCAGTCTAGAGAACTGCCGTGCTGTCTTCAGAACATCTGAGAACAGGCAAATGTGAAGAAACTCAGATGGATGAGTTTACACTAGATGGCTCAGACTGGAGGGAGATTTCTAGAAGGAGAATTGCTGGGATTTAACCACCAATTCTACCACCCGTCTGTCAGTGAAGATGGCCCAGGACTGGGCAAAATTTTGTTCTGTTGTATATGGCATTGCCATGAGTTGGAGCTGACTCACTGGTAATTAACAACAACAAGCCATCAATTGAATGTGAGAAGTAAGAAAAAGGTGATGAGGCCAGAGCTTTTAATTCAGGCCACTGTGTATATGGAAAGGCCATCAAAGGAACTAAGGACCACAGGGGAAGAGAAGGGTAGGGTAAGGAATAAGGGAGGAGGTGATAGGTTCAATTTTGGACATGTTGAGTGTGGTAGGCAGAGCAAAGGCCTCCCAAAGATGTCCACATCCTAATACCTGGAACCTGTGACTATGTTATCTTACATGGCAAAAGGGACTTTGCAGGTATGATTAAATTAAGTTAAGGAGATCATCCTTGATTATCTGGGTAGGCCCAATGTAATCACATGGGCCCTTAAAAGCAGAGAAACTTTCCTGGCTGTGATCAAAGGGAGATGTGACTCTGAAAGAATGGTCAGATTAATGCTATGTTGCTGACTGTGGAGATGGAAGAAGGGAACCAAGAGCCAAGGAATGTGGGTGACCTCTAGACACTGGAAAGGACAAGGAAGTGGATTTTCCTCTAGCACCTTCAGAAAGGAACACATCCTTGCTGAAACTTTGATTTTTAGTCCTGTGAGATCCATGTTAGACTTCTGTAGGATAGTAAATGTGTGTAGTTTTAAGCCACTAAATCTGTGGTAATGTTTTGGCAGCCATAGGAAACTAACACATTGAGTATGAGATTCCTGAGAGCATCCAGGTGAGGATTTGCAGCAGGCAGACATATAGGTGCGGATATGCCTGCCTGGGGCTCCAGATATGTTGACTCAGTAATTTTCAATTAGAATTGATGGTGGAAGCCACAAGTGTGGTTGACATTTCCCGAAAAGTAGGAGGAAAGAGTGAAAAGAGTCTAAGAAGGCAATTACATCGAGACAAAGCTTATTACTGGTTACCAGAGGCAGGTTTGAGGGGGAAAGGGGTAGTCACTGCTTAAGAGGCACTGGGTTTCTGTTAAGGGTGATGGAAAAAACTGGAAATGGATAGTGGTTACGGTGGCACAACATGGTTATTGTTGTTGCTGTTCTTGTTAGCTGTCATTGAATTGGCCCTCAACTCATGGTGACCCCATGCAAAACTGTAGAAAACACTGCCCGCTCCTGTGCCATCTCCATGATCTGTTGTGGACCATTGTGATCCATAGGGTTTTCTTTGGCTGATTTTCAGAAGCAGATTGCCAGGCCTTTCTTCCTAGTCTGTCTTAGTCTGAAAACTGCTGAAACCTGTTCAGCATCATAGCAATATGCAAGTCTCCACTGAAGGATGGGTGGTGACTGTGCATGAGGTGCACTGGCCAAGAGCTGAACCTGGAGTCCCTAGGTAGCGCAAACAGTTACTATGCTTGCTGCTAAACAAATGGTTGGTGGTTTGAGTTCCCGCAGAGGCCCTTCAGACAAAAATCCTGGCGATCTACTTCTGAAAAATCAGCCATTGAAAACCCTATGGAACACAGTTCTACTCTGACACACATGGGGGCACCATGAGCCAGAGGTGACTCAACAGCAACTGGCACAGTAGTGAATGTAATTAATATCACTGAATCGCACACGTAAAAAAGGCTGAAATGAAAAATGTTTGTGTGTGTGTGTGTAAAAAGAGAAGAGAAGCAAGTGATCAGAGCACTGCATGTTAGGGGAAGGTGGAGAAAGTTATGGGAAAAGGACAGTGAAGTGGTATTACACACTCAGACAGACCTGCTTAGGCAATTTTACTCCCTACATTTTCTCCGTCTTCTACCTGACTGAATGTCTAATTGCTGCGAATGCTTTGAGGAGTGGAGCAGAAAGGATAAAAAACATCTAGGTGAGGTTTGGCGATGGAAAGGCAGACAAGGCCTTCAAGCCTGCTGGGAGAGTGCTTTGGGCCACCAGCAGGGTTGGGACTGGAGTCAGGCCCCTTAGGTCCTTGTTTAAGGCAGGCAGAAAATTTAAAGGTGTGCCCAAGATCTCGGTAATCAATATACATTTTTTTAACTTCTTTTTTTAATTTAATTTTCGTTGAAAATATGCACAGCAAAACCCACTCCAATTCCATAGTTTCTAGACATAATGATCAGTGGCGTTGGTTACATTCTTCACATCGTGTTGACATTCTCGTTATTTCTGTTCTAGTTGTTTCACTTCCACTTACTTAATCTCCCTGCCCTCCAGCCTTCTCATATATGCTTTAAAATAGCGATTGAAATATAATTTTTTTAAAACACAATTCTCAAGGGTAACAATCTTTACTCTTTGTGCTAAGCTGTTACTTAGTTTAACAGTGACTTCAGGGGATAGTTTCAATTGAAGGTTTGAAGAGCAACTCAGGGCCATAGTCTCAGGGATTCCTCCAGACTCAATAGGTCCAGTAAGTCTGGATTCTTTAAGAATTTGAAGTTGTTTCACATTTTTCTCCCTTTTTATCAAGATCCATCCACTGTGTTCCTGATCAGAATGTTCGGTGGTGGTGAGCAGGTGTCATCTAGTTCTCCAGGTCTTAAGGTGGAGGAGGCAATGGTTCATGAAGACAATTAGTCCTGCAGTCCTGTAGACAGACAGTTAGTCCTGCAGTCCAGTTTCTTCTCTGATTCTTGGATTTCATTCTTTTTCTTTTGTTCCAGATGAATAAAGACCAATTGTTGTGTCTTAGATGGCTGCTCTTAAGCTTTTAAGACCCCAGACACTACTCACCATACTGGGAGGTAGAACATGAACTTTAAGAACTATATTACGCCAATTGATTGGATTGTCATGGGAGACCATGGCCCTACACTCCTAAACCAAAACTAATCCCATGAGGTGATTGGTTATGTGTAATTAGTATCAGCACAAGATAAATATTTTAATAGTCAAAATTAATGAACAAAACATCACAATGTCATTCGCCTTACCCTCATCCTGTCCCCCACTACTGGCCTGCCTGCTTCCCACCTGCCTGGGTTACCAAAATAGAATGAAACATGAGACAATTAAAGACCTGAAGGGAAACACTCCCTCCCCCTACTTTTAAAATTCTTTAAACCAGGGTACATTACCAAGGACTCTTATAATACGTCTTTCAATTCTCCTATTGCTACTTTGATAAAAGGGTCAAGAGGTATAAGTACTAAACAAGTGAAGAAAAACATGCTTAATAATTATGTTAACCTAGCATAAGTGGTTAAGAGCATGGCCTCTAGGTCCAGATTCCCTGGGTTCAAATCTCAGCTCTACCACTCAACCACCTTTGTGATCTTGAGCAAGTTAATGAACCTCCCTATGCCTCAGTTTTCTTATCTGTAAAGTGGGAAATAATCATCGTACCTACCTTGTTAAGATAATGAGTTATTGCATGTAAAGCACTTTGGATGGTGCCTGGCTCATTGTCAGTGCTGTGTAAGTATTAGCTATTGTTATTATTTTGTCTTAGGCTACTCATTCTGTTGCCTGAGGAAGAAGGTAGTTTGGAGGTTGATGAAGCAGACATTAATACTATCATCCCGAATACACTGTGCCCACTTTCACCTTCTTTCTTCTGCTCTCCCATCCACCCATCCACTCTCGTATCCACTTAACACCTACAATACGCTAGACAGTTGCTTTAACACAATTTATGTAGAAACAGCATTAAGCTCACCCCTCTCCATGACAGTTTTTCAAATAATAAAATCTAAAAGTCAGATTCAGAAGTATTTAGAAACGTAAATAGACCTCTTTCTTTTCTTTTGCAGATAGAAGGTGAGGGTCAGGAGAACAGCATCTGGGAGAATGATGACTTTAAACACAGGTCATGGTTTTCCTGAAATCTACTTAATAGCAAGCGTTGCTTGGACTTGAAACCAACTAGTTACCGTGAAGTTAACTCCGACACATGGCGGCCCCATGTGTGTCAGAGTAGAATTGTGCTAGATAGGGTTTTCAGTGGTTGATTTTTTTGAAAGTAGATCACCAGGCCTTCCTTCTGAGGTACCTCTGGGAGACCTTGAACCTGCAACCTTTCAGTTAGCAGCTGAGCACTTAACCGTTTTCTCCACTCAGGGACTCCTTTCAGGCTTGAGGAAGAGGCTTATTGGAGACAGTTGTTCAGCATTCGAACCCAATGCTGAGTTCCAGAGTTAGAGCCAGGTCTTATGCATTGCTAGCTCCTGAGGTCAGGAGCTCTGTGCTGCAGGTGGATGGAGCTGTTGGTGAGCCTGAGGGGAACCCAGCCAGGGGAAGTCCTCTTGGACTCTGAATTGATGGGCTCTGCTAGTCTTTGCTTCTGGGATGGGGAGCAGACTCAATTGTAATTGTCTCCATCCTGCATTCCTCCCCCCTCCCTCCAGTGTGGGATCTGGACACAGGGAAGTGCCTGAAGACGTTTAAGCACAAAGACCCTATCTTGGCCACCAGGATCAATGACACCTACATCGTGAGCAGCTGTGAGCGAGGGACCGTCAAGGTGTGGCATTTTGCCACGGCCCAGCTGGTGAAGGTGAGAGGGCAGGGTGGCAGAAGACCGGTGGTCCCCCCCACAGGGCTCTCCAGGCCATCCTAGAGTGACTGAGTTACAGTAACCAGAAGGAGCAGACGGGAGACTGAAGTGAAAGACCGCCAAAGGAGGGTGTTCTGGGTTGTGGAGGGTCAGGGGATCCCCCACCCACGCTGTGACCCATGTTGTCACAGGGTTGGTAGAGCAAGGCTGCCATCTGACTGGGCACAATATATAGGCCCTGGGGCCTTTTTAAGGGCAGAAGAGGAAAAGTGCCTTTTTCTCTTCCAGAGTATTCCACCCTGGTGCTGCAATGGGGCAAGGGGATGAACAAAGCCTGCTTTTTTCTCCTTACTCTTTGATGAGGAGTAAACATTGGCTGTCTTGGAAGTGATTAAATGTTCACAAAAAATAGTCTTGCTGGATCTGAACTCCCTGGTCCTTGTGTGTGATATTGAGATATCATTTGTGTCAGGAACGCAGGCTCTCAGTGAGAAGTGACTGGCCTGGCTTCTGAACTTTTCCCACCAATCTTGTTGCTAGCAGTGGCAGGCACAGGGATGCCCAGGTGCCTCCCCAGGCTGGGGAAGAAGAGCTCACCCTCTGCCCTATTTGCAGCAGAGGATGGTAGTTTCTGGCCCTGTCTGATGCTCCAGGAAGATGGGGCCTGCCCCAGCCATAGACCCACCAGGAGCAAGGCTTCTTCCTGATCACGTTCCTCCTTAACTGGAGAGTGAGCTCTGGTGAGAAGGAGGCATGGACTCCACTAGTCTTAGAGCAAGAGTGAAATCAGCTCCGGTAAATAGCAAGTGGGTGGCAGACATGGATTTCTGAAGTGTGGATTTGGGATGCATCTAAAGAAGCCTGCAGTTTAGGCCCTTGGAGGAGTCACAGTCTGAGTGGGCTGAAACCAGTGGCATCCTTTCCTGCAGACTCTCAGTGGCCACGAGGGAGCAGTGAAGTGCCTGTGCTTTGACGAGTGGCATCTCCTCTCAGGAAGTGCTGATGGCCTGGTCATGGCCTGGAGCATGGTAGGAAAGTACGAGAGGTGCCTAATGGCCTTCAAGCATCCCAAGTAAGTGCTGGTGAGGCCTTGACTGCTGACCTCAGCGCTCTTTCCTTCTGCCATCACACCCTTCTGTGCTCTGCTGGCCTCTTTTCCTCTCTGCTCCTCATTCATTTCTGCTTTCCTCCTCTCCCACCTGTTACTGCTTTTTCCCACCACCCTCTCTGCTCAGCCATCTCTTCTCTGCCCTCACTTGTTTCTCTTGGAAACTAATAACAGGTGTGGTTATTGAGAAGTTGTTGAAACTTTATCCTTACGACACAAGTGGTAAATTTATATCTGTTGCCTACCAACTTATAAATATTGGTAGAAACATCCCAAACAATGCTAATTCTAGTAAACTTAAAATTCTTGGAATTGGTCTTTATCCCAGTAAGCTTGTGTGCCAAATGCCAAAGGTTTAAAAATAACTGAGGGCTTAAAAAAGGAACTTAAAAGTCTGTAGGCTACAGTCTATTCCAGGATGGCAAATGGATTTCATTTTACATACCAATTCATATTTAGTGATAGTGGCTGCTGAGGCCAAGTAAGAAGTATTCTGAGCTTATGCCTGGGCTTATTTGGAAAGGGTATTGTGGTCAATTACTGTATTTTTATGCAAATAACACATACCTTCTATGCTTGTTTGCCAACCATGCCCCTCGACAAGATATTTTTGTAAATGCACTATGTTAAATTTTTACAGCAACATGTGAAAAAAAAACTGGCATAGTGGCACTTATGAAAAATACCTCACGGGGGCTCACTGATAATTCAGTAGGTCTTAGTTTAGTTATTAGAAAATAGTTTGTTCCTAGCAGTTTGGTTGTCATTCCATGTTGTTGTTAGTTATTGTCAAGTTGGCTTTGACTCATAGCGACCTTATGTATAACAGAATGAAACATTGCCTGGTCCTGGACCATCCTTATGATTGTTGGTATGTTTGAGCCTATTTATTGTTGCAGCTATTGTGTCAGTTCATCTCATTGAGGATTTCCCTCATTTTTGCCCACCCTCTACTTTACCAAACATGATGTCCTTTTCTAGTGATTGGTCTTTCCTGATGAGGTGTCCAGTGTAAGTGAGCCAAAGTCTCGCTGTCCTTGCTTCTAAAGAGCATTCTGGTTGTACTTCTAAGACTGGTTTGTTCTTCTGGCAGTCCATGGTATATTCAATATTTTTTGCCAACACCACAGTTTGAATGCATCAATTCTTCTTTCTTCTTCTTTGTACAGCTTTCACATTCAAAAACTGTGGCTTCGGTGAGGTACACCTTAGTCATCTTTGCTTTTTAAAGCTTTAAAGAGGTCTTTTGCAGCAGATTTTCCCAATACAATACGTCTTGACTGCTGCTTCCACGGGTGTTGATTGTTGATCCAAGTAGAGTAAAATCCTTGACAACTTTAATTTTTCTCCATTTATCATACTGTTGTTTATCAGTCCAGTTGTGAGGATTTTTGTTTTCTTTATGTTTAGGTGTGATCCATATTGAAAGCTGTAGTCTTTGGCCTTCATCAGTAAGAGCTGCAAGTCTTCTTCATTTTCAGCAAGCAAGGCTGTGTCATCTTGAGTATCGCAGGTTGTTAATGAGTCTTCCTCCAATCCTTACGCCACATTCTTCTTCATATAGTCCAGCTTCTTTAATTATTTGTTCAGTATACCGATTGAATAAGTAAGTTGAAAGGATACAACCCTGCTGCACACTTCTTTCAACTTTGAACCATGTGGTATCCCCTTGTTTGGTTCAAAAGACTGCCTCTTGATCCATGGACAGGTTCTGCATGAGAACAATTAAGTGTTCCGGAATTCCCATTCTTCATAATGTTATACATAATTTTTTATGTTCTACACAGTGCAATGCCTTCCCATAGTTGATAAAACACAGGTAAACATCTTTCTCGTATTCTCAGCTTTTGGCCAAGATCCATCTGACAACAGCAGTGATATCCCTTGTTCCATGTCCTCTTCTGAAGTTGGCTTGCACTTCTGGCAGTTTCTTGTTGATGTATGGCTGTAGTCATTTTTTAATTATCTTCACCTAACTTTTGCTACCATACAATATTAATTATATTGTTTGATAATTTCTGCATTCTGTTTGATCGCCTTTCTTTGAAATTGGCACAAATATGGATTTTCTTCTGTCAGTTGGCCAGGTAGCTGTCTTCCAAATTACTTGACATAGATGAGTAAGCTGTGCTGTGAGACCTTCTCAGACCACTCCACTCAGGACAGCCCCAATATACAATTCATTTTGTTCTTGTTACCTTATGCAGTCACAGCAAAACCATGGGCATCTGGAGGACATAGTCACTGCTCTTGCTTGTATGTACCCCCCACCCCTCACCTGTAGCACTTCTGTGTATAGGTAAGTGCTCAATAAATATTTTAAATTGATTACTAATGAGGACTAATTTGATAAATTGCCTTTCTGGACAATTCTAATGATTGGACAGATACCCATCTTTTGGATATGGCATAGGTAAGACAACAGATATAGTTGTGTCTTTCCTTTGGTGGAAGAAGGGCTGGGGAAAGAGGTCTCCCTTCTGTTCTCTTGAGCCACTGTTTTTTCAACAAAAATTAAAATTCTGCAGATGGTTTGGGAAAGAAGTGAGATAAAGGAGGAAATTAGAGTATACCAAGTAGGGCTGACAGGGGTGATAATCCTTGGGAAAGATTCCATACTCTGCAGTGTCTTTTTTTTAAACTTTTTTTTTTAAACATCTTTATTCTTTAACGTTTTTACCACAGGTGGTATTGTAATTAGGGCTTTGTTTTTGTTTTGCAATTTCTTTAATTACATAAAATTTACTATTTAAAAATGTACAGTTCAATGTTTTTTAGTATATTCATACTGTTGTGGAACCATCACTACCAACTAATTCCAGAACATTTACATCACCCCAAAAAAGAAACCTTGTACCTGATAAGTGTCTCTCCCATTCCTCCTTTCCCCCATCCCCTGACAACCATGAATTTACTTTCTATCTCTATTGATTGGCCTATTCTGGATATTTCATATAAATAGAATCATATAACGTAGGCTTTTGTGTATGGCTTCTTTCACTTAGCATAATATTTTCAAGGTTTCCCCACATAGTAGCATGTATCAAACTTCATTTGTTTTTTTTTAGATTTTATTGTACTTCAGCTGAAGGCTTACAGAACAAATAGTTTCTCATGAAACAGTAGTACACATGTTGTTTTATGACATTGGTTAACAACCCCACAACATATTAACCCTCTA